ATATATATATATCACTGACCTTGATTGAGTGGGATTGACAATCGCTCCGGCTCGTAGTTCATTGTGACCATACCCTATGATATCCTCTCCAAAGTCTGAAATGTACGAATTGCTCCTATGTTCAATTCAGTAAATTGCGTTTCACGGATCTTACCTATGAGCAGATTTGCAATGCATTCGGGGAGACTGAGCAAGCTGTCGACTCTACCGCATTTGCCGTTCAATCGCAACGAGTATTCTTGGATTTTTTGGGGAGGATTTGTGATCTGAATCAAATTGTATATATGGGAACATAGCTAGTAAAGAATTTACCTTCACCAGTAGGAAACGGTATAATCCGGCAAACATTTGAAAGGATGATTCCTTGTCCTTTGGATGATAATTGGAAACTAATCCGCCTAGGTCCGCCTAAGAACGAATTTGATTGAGATTTATATTATGTAGTGACTAACCGTGATGAAAGGTGCTGGTCCGTCGATCTTCCATGCCCGTGTGCAGTTGGTTAGCATCAGAACTGGCCTTCCACTGACCCCTCCGCCCGTTTCTTTTCGCTCGGCCATTTCAGCGGTGCGTGTATAGCGGTCGAACTTCGCGCATTGTATTTCGGCCTAAAAAGATTTGTAACATTTGCGAAAAGCAGTTGCAAATACTTACTTACCATCATGTAGTTTATGATCCCTGTTAGGCGCATTTCTAGGACAGTGTCTCCGAGATCGAGCGTGCCAGTATTGCGAAAATACTGGACACGTGAAGCCACCTCGGAGCGAACGAATTCCTAATTATAGTATTAATTAATAGAGGTAGAAGGATACAAAGAAACTTACGTCGTAGATTGATTGATTAAACGATCCATCACGTTTTTGTTTGAGTACTAAACGAGCCGCCTTATCCATGTCCAGCGTGCCGTTTGAGATGCATGCATACAAAGATGTGGGTTCTCGGCTGACCTGGGGTGCTGGTGCCTCTTCAAAGTTGAACTGGGGACGCTCATGTATATTGCCTGCATATTGATTAGATACAAATGGGCGCAAGTGTGTTCTAATCGCTTACCTGTTCTTGCGACTTGTTCACCTCCTATTGGAATGTTTTCGTCCTGGAACACTGTTCTTGGAGCAGCTGTCGGCGTTGCTCTGAATGTTTAGAGTTGATCACCACCTAATTGTACAAACTCGACTTACGATGTTGTTTGGGGTGACGCTATCGCTAACTCAGGCCTTGGCGTGGGCGGGACATAAGTTAGTCGAGCCCGAGCTGGAGCCCGGCTCCTTGTTTGCATATGAGAGTTCTGTCTCATTCTTTCAAAATATCTGCAATAATAGTTAGAGAGTATGCGAAGCAATGCAGAGCAATACACGGAGAGAAATGCAAGATGAAGTAAATCGTAGCATGATGTAATGGATGGTTTTCAAACAGCTTTATAAAGGCAGAGAAGGTATGGGCGGTTCCGAGACTAGCGCTAGGGCTAGGGCAGTAGGTCGGTGCAGAGGAGCGTATGCAATGGCACTGATGTCCACTGGCGTGATATTATTGATAGTGTGATCACTGCTCTGGCCCGGGCGCGAATCTGGGTGACCTCATAAGTCATTACAATCGCGATACATAAGTACGTGTGTCATATTTTAATAAGGAACATGCGCATTGTATACAGGAAGTGGGTCTATTTCTAATCATTCTTCGACTTAATTCTTGAAAGTAATCGTTACATTCTTCTATCAGAGACATTAATTGTACACCTTGTCTTCGTAGTGGATGAGGAAAATGATGCATCACATTCCCCAAATGCTCAAAAGGGTTTTGATATTCGTACTCATCTACAAGGACCC